AGTCACCTTGCAGGGGAGGAAGGATTCATCACTTTGGACGTGATGGGCCACGGCTGGCGGTACACTCAGTTTGGGGTGTTTTCCATCTTATAAGAAACACATGTACAACTTTTTAGCACTGGTGAGTGAGGAAGTCTTAGCTGCCAGTCTATCATGAGGATGGTTTCCAACTCATTTGAATTCTTGTAAGCTTTTCTAGGAAAAAGCACCCCTATTGAGAAAGAGCTTGGATTTTGTCCTTTGGTAAAGGATTGCCGATCTGCCAAGCTGGGGAGGGGAGCAAAACCTTTAAAGATGATAAAATCAGTCCTTTTCTGGGTGATAGGTTTTCCACAGGACCTAGTTTTCCAGAAGACATCGGTCTCATCTCCACTGAGCAGTCTGTTCAGGCCCTGCTGTGTCCCTCTGCCCCCTGAACCCTGCACTCTGCCTGAGCCGGCAGCTAATGCTACCTGTTGGTGGTGGACAGAGCCGGCCGCCTGGTCTGCGTCCCAGCTTCGGGATGCGGGGAGGGGCACACGTTGGAAAGCTCTTGCGAGAGCAGCGTCTCAGCCTGGAAAGTCGATCCCGACGGATATGAGGCCGGGCCGCGCGGCTGAGCGACTTCTGCCTGGCGTGCCTGTGGTGCTCTGATGCACGGGGCACGTTGCCGCGTCTCCTGGGAAGTGGGCGAGAAGGGTTAAGCACATGGACCTTTTCCAGTCAGGATTGCTAAGGGGTTTTCAAACTTCCATTTTAGAAAGGAAGGGATACTTAGTTCACTGAGACTGTGGTCTAGTGGCTAGAGCCTGTGACTGGGAGTCATGGCCAGAGAGCAGAATCTTTTCCACACTTTCCCGAGTCTGCCAGTGATGATTCAATCCAAAGTGTTGCTTTTGGGCCACTGACCCTGGAATCCTGCGTGACTGTGTTTGGCCGACTGGATGTAAGGCCCAGTGAAGGTATGTAGCCTGTCTGACATGGTCTTCAGGGATGCAAACCATTTTTATTATTTTCTATTATTTTTAAATGGTTGGGAAAAGGAACAGAAGAATAATATTTCCCAACACAAGAAAATCCAGATTTCAATGTCCATAAATAAAGTTTTATTAGAACACAGCCACGACATAATACATGTACTGCCTACGGCTGAGTTGAGTAGTTAGCAGAGAGGTGGTATGGTCGCAAAGCCTGAGCTATTTGCTGTGTGGCCCTTTACAGGAAGAGTTTGCCAACCCTGCCCTGAACAAATAAAGGGGCAGACTCCACTTGCCCGTCCATCTGTGGACCGGAGTGAATGAGAGGGAGTGGCGGGAAGCCGCTTTGGAGTTTTATCAAGGATGTGGGGTTCCCGGCAGTCTTTATCATCATCATCATTGTCCTTTGAATTGTCCTGTTTGTTTGAAAAATAAGTTTGTACCGAGGCCTTAGCGGCTCTCCGGTGGCAGGTTCTATGATCAGCCCCTCCGTGCTGTCCTCGCCGCCCAGTCCGGGGGTGTCTTCATGGGAGCAGGGTCTATCAGGTCCACTGGAACCTGATCCCGGAGGGGCCTTTGGATTTGGGAGACCCACCCCCATTTGCCTTTCCTATTCCTTTTTATTTTTATTGGAGTTGGAGGAGGAGAAATTCGAGATGTGTACCTTTCTCTTTTTTGCTGACAATTTAACAGGCTTTTAAATAGCCTTGATTCCTTTCCGGCCCATGGTATTGTATATGTTTCGAGACTTTGTCCACAGGTCCAAAAGCTTAACTTAAGCTCACTGAGACATATCATAAAATATGATTTTGGGAAAAACCCTAATGGGCCATGAGCAGAACATTATTAAACAAAGGATGAAATGCTTAAGCCGAGATGGATTTTTTTTTTTTTTTTTTTTTAAAAATGAAAGTCAAGCAGACTCCATTTCAACAGTTTTTAATGCAGGAATTCCCACAGCCCCATTTGATTGCAGTTTGTTGAAAAGTTTAATGTTTTTGTAGGCAATTCATAATTTCCATGTTGAACAGCCTAAAAGGAAGAGAGCTGGAGCCCATGTTGTTTTTATAGTGGGATGGTGGGAACTTTTTTCCTCTTCCCCAAAAAGGACATAAAACCGAAGTGGAACTGTTGGGAAACGTGGCTCTGCAGGCGGTTCGCAAGCTCGAGATGCTGCTTTCTCCAGGTCTTCCTTTAGGACCCAGCAGAATAAATAGAATTTCCTGCTGCTTAATGTCTCCAGGAAGGAAAAGATTTTCCTCTAGGCTCTAATAGTACCCAATTTCCTTTTTCTTCCCTTTATTTATTTATTTTCTCTATTAATAAGGACCGACTGTAGAAGATGAAGAGACCTGGGAAATCCATCACTTTTGGAGGAGGTTAATAACTTCCTTTAAAAAATCCTGACATAGTACTTACTTCCCCAAAAGGAACCTCGTCGGCCTGAATGCTGGTTAAGATCCGAGGGACAGGCATGGGTTTGCGGGGACCCAGCCCTTCTGTGGGATCAAGTTGCATTGGGACCCAGAGGTTGGGGCTGTCACTGTCGAGTCCCTGTGAGTCGTTGGGACTGGGGCTGTTGTCTTCCTCTGCCATCTGGATTTGGTTAGCTCTCTCTGGGCAGCAGGGCCGAGTCTCATTTCCTCCAACCAGTAATGTTATATAGGCAGTGATCCTGGGCTGCCCTAACATAATTGAAAATTATGTGTATTGTAGGCTCGGAGCGCTGAAATGTAGGCTCATAAAAATATGTGGTGCAGGTAGCCCGCGGAGATTGGAAATGGCACACAATGAAGCTTTTATGTAAAGTAAGAATTATAAGTCTCCGTATTAATACTGTATTATGGGTATGATAATTCTAGGGTGGGGTCCTCAGGGCAGGTCTGTCATGTTAAATAAAACCGAAATTTCCTAATCCTATGGAGCTGGTACTTGGATGCAGACAAGTCAGCGTTGTAGATGGCCAAAGACGAAGTCCATTACCCTGCCCTTCCCCACGGAGGGCCGCATGAGGCGTAGGCGTGCGGTAGATTCTGCTTGGCATTTTTCTTCACAGGTTTTTATGAGATGGAGGGGTGAGTGTTGGCAGGTGTCCATTTTGGTTGGCCTCAAGGAAATGACTCTGTTGAGTGGTTTTGACCGATGAGGCCCGTATATTTATGTGGCAAGTGAGAATGGGCCGAAGTCAGGATGAGACAGGGAAGCAGAGATGCCCAGGGCCCCCTAGCTTGGGGTATAGGGCTGAGAGAGGTCATTTACTTCAGGGGCGGTACTGCTCCCGAAGGAGGTAGTGGAAATGGTTTGATTGAGGGCGACGGGGGGGTGGGGGTGCCTGCTGGTATGTCCTGTCTGGAGGGTGGGACACTCCTTCAGCCTAGAGATACACGCCAGGCATCCGTGGAAGCCATGGTATTTGATGTAAGGTCTTGTGGCAAATTACCAGAACTAGCAGCCGGGTTCCCCGGCACAGGGTGCTTCTCGGTAAAGCGCCGAGGAGGTCCCCGCAGTCTGGTACAGCTCCAGGTTGGGACGGTGCCTTGGGTTTGGCAGGTAACCATGGGTTGGGGTGTTCCTCCTCTAGGTGGAACTGAGTCGGGCTTGAATTCGCCAGACGGTTGTGTCGTTGAGGAACCCACGGAAAGGCTTGTGGGTGGCTTCGGCCCTTTTCTGTCACATGGGATTTGAGCAAACCCTTCCTTCCTTCCGGACTGCCCTTTGCTGTCCTTTCTGTTGCAATCTTTTCTGTGTGGCCTTCCCCAGTCTCTTTCTCAGAAGTGCCTCCTTCTTGTTGGCATCCCCTGGGCACGATTGCCCGCGTCTGGGCCGCAGCCTCGCCGGCTCCTTGACCTGCGTGGGGCTGGCCGCCTCCTGCGTGCGTAAGCCCCCTGCGGGCACACAGTTTTGTCTCCATGACGCACGAAGCCAGCTCCAGTCGGTGTTCCCCGAGTAAGATTTTCTGAGGGATTAATATTAAAACTAGCCTCTTTCTCACCACCACCCCCTTTTGCTGTGGGTTTCTGAACCATCAAAATGGCCCCTCGTGTACCCTCCAAGCATTAACACACGCCTCCATCAACTGGCCTTGGAAGCACAAAGGCCGGTATCGATGTCCGCATGCAAACCTCAGCAGGGTCTGAGTTCTGTTTGGAAACTGTTGTAATGTCACCAACAAAGTCAGGGGCCCGGGACTTGCTGCTACATGTGCTGAAAGTCTCGGTGACCAGACAGGCCACCTTACCTCAGCGTCTCTTATCTGCACCGTGGGGAGTTGGATCAGTTGATTAAGTCCCTCCGAAAGCTGCACTTTGGACAGAAGTAGCTCCCTTCCCTCATGCCATGTATTTCTTTTCTACCCTAGAGAAGGGCAGAGATAAACACAATTAGCTTATATTTTTATTTCTCTCTCTGTGGTAAACCTGTATGTATTGAAGAATTTCTCCAGCCTTTTGAGATGAGGGTATAAATTGCATTGTGCCCTGTTTGTGCATCCTTTACCTAACATATTTTTGTTCTGTAAGCTCTCGGTTTGGATGAGGAGTCCCATCCTCACCTTACGCAGGTAGCTTCCAGTAGAGGACAGTTGCACACAGATGCTCTGCTTTCTTGCGAGTGAAGGATGATGGCATTTTAGAAATGAAGGTTCCTGAAAGAGCACATTCAAACTTGATGGCCTCCTACGACACTGGCTTGAGACTCCGTTTGCTTTTTTCTTCTGGAAGATCTCTGTGTTTCTTCCCTTCTTCCATCTCTCCTTCCCCACTGCTCCTTCTAAATGAGGTAGTACTGACGAGTTCATTTTATCTGAAGCCACCTGTCGCTTGAATGCTAATGATATTGATGTATACACGTACCTACCGGACGTGAACTCTAAGGAAGCACCTGTCGGTGTTGCATGGTTTTTCTGTTGTTGATGTTAATTGCATGCTTTTCCCTTTTTCAGTGTCTGATCCATGTATCACGGACCCTAAGAGTCATCTCTCGGGGTAGCTGTTTTGCATTTCTTTTCTAAATTCATTTTCCATGTTCGTTTTGTTTGCTCTCCAGTATCTGCAGATGAAATGGCCGCTGCTCGATGTCCAGGCGGGGACGCTGCAGAGCAGACAAGCCCTCAAGGATGCCCGCTCTCCGTCGCCGGCACACATTGTTGTAAGTGACCTTACAAAGACAATCGCTTCCTTTATTGGGGTGGGGGGAGATGAAGAAAACGCTCTTTGGTTGATAACAGGCCTTGTTTATCAGTCTCTCTTTCTTTAAAAATATTTTGTTTGGCATGTTCTTGGATATGGTTTATATCTAGAAGGTGATTGTTTTCTTCTATTGGACACTGGAGATTACTGCCTACCCAGAACATTTCCCATCTGTCCTTTCTCCTAGTATTGGGTTAGAGCTGAGCTACCTTGGCTCCAGGTAATAGGCACAGTCACCATGGTGTGGGCAGACTGGAAATGGTAGCAATTTTAAACACTACAATACCCCAGATCTTTCCTGAAAAAGGTCATTGAGGGAGGTAGTGGCAGAGGAGGGAATTCGAAAACTCTAAGGAAGCCCTGGATTGGAGACTTTTCCCAGTATCCCTCGCAATTTACCTTAATTGTTGGAAAGGACTGTTTTACACGAACGTCAGAAAAGTATCTTCTGGGCTGATTGATTGACCCAAGAACTGAACGTAGAAAGGCTTAAATTAAATTAAATTTAATTTGTACATCCATGACTTTGAAAGCATGGGGGTCTAATATAGGAGCCATTTGTTTATAGTACTAAGAGATGACTATATATCATGTCTACATATATTTTTAATGCACTTTTGTAGACTCTGAAAGTGGAATTTATAAATTAACCTCTTGAGAAGATAGCTTAGCCTCATTAGAATATTCTCTTCTATATATTTATACCATGAGCTGGACTTGATACTTTTGAAACAATGAATGGGAGACATCTTTATAATAAATTGATGACAGGTAGAATTATGCAAAGCACAAAACAATTCATGTATTTTTTATTTAAGTATTACAGAATGTTATCCATTAATATATTTTGCCTCTGTGTTACTTGTAATTTCTAAAAATGGCAAAATAATTAAGTAGAAAAATCTCAGGACGCATTGTGTGAACATTCAGGCTAACGGCCTCCTTATTGTGTAGCTTGCTATCATTGAGAATATATTATTTAATGAATTATGCCTCTGTTATAGGAATTTTGAATATCTATGTGTATGTGTGTATATATATCACAAAATAATTTATTTCTGTAAAGCCACATCTTGGGTCATTGCTTGTGAAAATGTCTTACCAATTTTTGTTGTAAATAAGGCACATAGAAAGAAGGCTCATTCTCCAGAAACTTCCTCCTTCCTCTAACTCCACAATAAAAAGGATGCTTATGATTACACACGCTCGTACAATGCCAGGATCTCAGGACTGGAAGTGACCTTAGATCAGTTAGGCCCAACCTGCCCTCAGAAAAGGAAACAGGCCCAGAGATGCCTTAACTGAATTGCCCAATGTCACACGCTGTGTTGGTGGCCAGAGCGAGGACCGGACCCAGCTCTCTGCTCCCTTCCCGGGGCCTGTGGGATGTTTTCTCCTTAGGGAGAGAAAGTGACTTTCCATGGCGGGTGTTTTGCTTACTGTAAACCAGGTCTTCCTCAGGGACAGCGTGGGGGCTGTAAAGACGCTGCTGGCTCGGTTCTGACGCACCTCCTGGGAAAGGGAATGCGTGTCAGACGGTGTTACCAGCGCCCCAGGGTCTCTAAGGAGTGTGATTGTTGGAGTCCTCAGGGTAGGGTGAGGAAGCCGGTCACGGCACGTCTCCTGCCTCCCCGGGTTTCCCGGTGTGGGTCTGGGCTCGGACATTTATTTCTCTGCTTTTTGGAAATGCTTGGCAGGACATGTCTACATTTTTTTTTTTTTAATGTACGGAGAAAAGATTTATCTTGAAACTCTCTTGGAGGCTCTTCTCTCTCTGAATGTGGAGAGAAGATGCGATTCCTAGAAGTGGCTCGGAGTGCACACAGCAGTCCTAGGTGTGGCGGGGGTGTCCGTGGCCATACTCAGGAGCAAGAGTGGGAAAGAGGTAGATGATGGCCCCCCTTCTCTCTAGCCCCTACCCCCAAATTCCATAAGAACAAATGCCCCAATTTAGGTTTTAAGCATCTTATTTTCATTTGCAAAATTAGCCATCTGAGCAGTTGTTAAACCAGTTTTCTTCAGAGCAGTGTGGGTTCTGGCGAGGAATGCAGCGAGGGGACCTAGGTTTTTCCCCTCTGCTGTTTACTGAAGGCATATTTACCATAGCAACCACTTTGGAGAGCACCACCCTTAAGATGGAGACCCTTGTCCAAAGGAGCCACAGCTAGCAACGGTTGTGTTTTCTGCTCTGTTCCTGGAGACCTGGGGAAGGGCCATTGCATAGAGATTATGGGGGGAAGGGCCATTGCATAGAGATTATGGGTTGGTGGAGGGACAGGCTCTGGGGACTGGAGAGAAGAGGAGAGCCAGATCTTGGACAAAAGGAAACCAAATTTGTGAAATACTTAATGCCTGTGGCAGCTGACTGGTGTCTTTGGTTATATGAGTCAGCCCTAGAACTGTGCATTTCTGCAATCTTCACCTGACACTAAGGTTTTGGAGGGGGTTGTTGGGTGCTGGGGGCGGGGTGGGGGTATTAGTAGGGGGAGATGGGAAAGTAGGGTGGAAAAGGCTGGAGATTGCTGACCACATACAGTTTGGGGGATTGAGGAGTCATATACCTTGGGGGGCTACATTTACGATTGCATTTTCATTGGCCATAGAGTGCTTGTGCCCACCAAAGCGGGCTTGGCAGGTAGAGTATGGGTAAAGGGGGCATTCTGCATCATGGTTGATGTGCCATTAGGCTCAGCATTGACCAGAAGAATGTATGCAGTTCATGTTCAGATTCACTGATGAATGGCTGACTTTTCTCCAGACCCTGGACTCTTCCTTACATTTTATGTTTCATTCTTTTAAGTAAAACATTGTCACATCACAGTGTTTCATCAGAAATGTTTCAAAATAATTGTCTAAGGATTGCTTCCTAATTTCTGCGAAATTTGGATTTATTGTGATTTCTGGGCCAAGCTGTTTCATAATGATCTCTAATGATTTCTTTTGAAAATAGAGAAGTGTTCGGTGTTTGTTAGTAATCACTGGAGGCTATAACTATCACAGTCTGTTAAGGAAATAACTTTTCCCCGGTCCATATATAGGGCTGAATTTTCACATGGGAATTAAAAGCATTTTGTCTGAATATTTCAGTTTGAATTTTTTTTCATGTGGTCTGTGGGTTACCACATTATAAAAAATGGATGTGTAGAATAAATGTTCTTAATAAGTGGAGTTCAATTGATCAAATAGTATTTAAATTGAGAAGCAAGCCCCACAAACTTAGTTCCTGTAATGGATACAGCATCTTGTTTATTGTATCCCAGTGACTCCTGATCTGTGATTTAAAGAAAGAGGAATTTATCCCTCAAGGATGATGTCTTGATTGGCAGGGGGCGGCGGGAAGAATAGGAATTTACACAACACATCCATCTCTCTCTCCCTCTTCTCTGTCCCTTTCAATACCCCACCCCTGAAATTCATCTACTTCCTAAAAGTCTCAAAGAAGGTCCAGATTCTTCCTCCCCTCCCCAATCTCCCCAGTCCCATTTTCAAATTCACTTAAGTAGCTCATATTTCTTTCTCTGTGGTGGTTCTCCATTTATATTTTTAATTTTTTGTCTCTCTCTGCCTCCAAAATGAGTGCCAGGCAGTTGGCCGGGTGAGTGGTGGTGCCTGAGTCCTGGCCGGGCGCCTCCAGCGCCGGTGCGCGGTGGGGCTCTGAGCTGCTCCCTGGACGCCGCCCCCAGCGTCCTTACTCTACAAAGACTTTCATTTAACTTCCTTTGTACCCAGCAAACAAAGCTTCTGTACCAGAAATGGTGGTATTTTGGTACAGTATGTATCTTACAAAACGGCAAAAGGCTTCAAAAGTTCCTACCATTTTATCTTGGGGGTTTCCTTTTGAAGTGGATGTGGAATTCCACCTTGGGGTACGTTTCCAAGTGGTTCTTGGTCTCGTGTGCTTGCTGTGTAATGAGCGCCGAGGGGGGATGAGAAGCCGCCCGCATCCCGAGGAGCAAAGCCCTCCAGACTGTGTTGCACTTTTTGTTGCTGTTGTTATTGCTTAAACGTGAAAGCGAGCGGAAAACTTAAGAAATCCAGCGTGTGATGGTTAGAACTTCAGATGATCCTCTGCTGTCTGCGGCGAGCATTTTCAAGTAAACTCAGAGGGCATGGCGGACCTTTTGCTTTTGTGTCTGAAGAGTTCGGGGGGGGGGGGGGGTCTACTCATAGTTAATAACAAAAAACTACTTTGAGAGCATCCCCTCGGTGAGTAAGTGCATGCGGATGTTTTGATCGGTTACTTGACTTGCGTTGCATGCTGTCTCTGCCCCTGCTGCTTGGCAGTGGTGTGTGCTAGGACGCCCTGTTGCTGGCTGAGGCCCAGCACCACCTCTGCACCCCCTACCTGCGTGGGAGCCGTTGTTCCAGGTGCCATGCAGTGTACCGGGTGCGAGCGGGTACGGCCAGGGAGATGGGATTCTGACTGAGAAATTGGTGAGGGTCATAGGCCCGGACAGCCCCTTGGGAAATGGCATTTAAAATGACATCTGATGGCTTCACTGGAGTTAGCCAGGTGAAGGTATGAGAGAAGGGATGAAAAGTAGCAGAACATTCCAGCAGATCTTGAGGGAACAAGGAGAGTGGCCGGGGGGGGGGGGGGGGGGGATAGGGTGTGGTGGGCTTGGTGTTTAATCCTAACCGTGTGGGAAATCGTTGAGGGGTTTGGCTTGTGTTGACCCAATGGCTGCAGGGATGGTGAAGCAGACGGACGTGCAGGGGACAGCACACAGCTTGCTGATGGGTTAGATGTTGGCACTGAAGGAGAAAGGGGGAGTCTGAGGTTCGTGGCTGGAGAAGGCCATCCACTGAGTGGGGGATATTGGAGGGGAGCAGTCTGGGGTGGAAGACTTGTGGTTTTAAGTTTTTATCCATTCCAGCCTTATTGATATATAATTCCTTCGTAATATTGTGCATGTCTAAGGTATACAGTGTGTTGATTTGATACACGTATATTGTAAA